TCCTTTCCACCAATAAGCACAAGAAGGATCTCCAGCAACCTAATAGTAGTGCTTTGGAATTAGTTGAAAATAAAACTTCAGTGAATTTCATTATGGACTTTCCTAGTAATTGTTGTGTTCATAGGTTCTTGAGTCATTGTAAAATATAATATTAGGTAATACAGTGAGTTGGTGTGTTGACCCTAAGATCTACCTTTCTCATGTTTCTGGCTTCCTTTCTTTCTCATGTTTCTGTCTTCCTCTCTTTCTGCTTCTTCACTGCCATGCGAAGAAGCCTAAAATAAAATGTCAATCTAGGCCAATCATTGATGGAATCTTAGTTGCAAGAAAATTGCAACTCACATTGCATTTCAGCTCCTGAAACTTGATCAAGTGATTTGGGAAACCAAATCTTTCAGGGTTCTCATTTTCATGTTTTTTTAGTCACTGACCATATGATTTTCAATCATCAAGCAATGAAATCATAATTCCTCATGTTTTATTTTCTATGTTTTGTTTGCTACGTAATTGAGTCTTGTTTCTGTTATGACAAATTGTGGTGCTTGAAGACGATCTAAAGAGACATCGGGCAATTTTAGCCCCTTGCTCCAACCTTGTAGCACCAGAAAGTGTTTGATGACAAAGATGCAAAGAAAGTAGTCGGGCTTGTTAGAAATTGTATTTCTGTATCTTTGGGCGTTAAGCCCCCATGGAAGATGTATTATTGAGCTTATCGAAGATGTGAACAAGAGCCCCAATTTATAGGGTTACAAAGTTGTGTACTACTAAAGAGACTAACATATATAATGAACCACCTTCCTAATATATGTATACATAAAAGGAAGGAAAATATTGTTCCAAAAAATAAGTGTAGGTTTCTATATTTTCACACTCCCCCTCAAACTCAAGATGCATTAAGAGAGAGCAACTTGAGTTTGGACTGCTGAAGGCAGGCCTTAGTAACAAAGCTGGAACAGAAGAAGCTTGAGCAGCTGCAAATTAGCGATCCTCAAAAACCAACATCTCGAACAGAACAGTCTTGCATAACAACAAATCAACAAGCATCCGGAACACACAAGATCGAGTAACCAAAAAACTCGATCATCACATAGGATGGAGTAATGGAAAACTTCATCTTCCAATAGGAACAAGTAACAAAAAAACTCAATCATTAAACATGTTTAAGTAACGGAAAACTTGATCATCAACCAGGATTGAGAAATTCGATCATCAAACAGGAGGCACTTGGAAGAGCCAATAGAAATCAGCGACGGATCAACAAGCACAATTGGACTTTAGATTTGGAGTTGAGAACAGTAAGATCCAAAACTGATCAGAGAGTCAAAACACGACTTGATAGAGAGATAGATCAGGGAGTCGAAACACGACTGGGTAGCTGTTTTTTCGATGGTGCAGATCGGCCATTTTCTAACTTAGAAGCGGGTTTTAGATCCGGCTCACCAAGAGTCCGGCATCAGAGGGGAGCATGACAACAATGGTTTACCTAAAGTAATGGGCAATTGTAGTTGGCTTACAAATCACAGAGATTAGATTTTTTATTTATTTTTTCATTATAAACAAAATGGTATGACGATGATTGATACCAACAACCTGGTACAAGTAAACAATATGGTCCTTCAAGGCCAGAGCAAATAAACAGAATGGTCCACAAGGGCACAATGGACCACAAAACGAAAGTTAGAGAGAGAGGAAATTTCCCCATTTTAAGTCGCGCGCAAATCCAAGGGCATGTAAGATCGTTAGAAGAAAAGAGAACAGAGGAGGCCAATTCTCTTCCTAGATTGAATGGAGCTGCCCAAGATGGATTGCCCTTCTCAGATCCATGCAATTCAGGCTCGATCTTCTCGCTCAACAGATGCGCTCAACATATGCCTGCTGAACAAGGGACCCAATCTGCACAATTGACGTTTGAAGGCGCAACTTATAGACAAAGGCCAATTTGACAAGAGCCACAAAAAACATAACGAAGAGTCCAAGGGGGACTCCCTTCAAATGGCGGGATTTTAACCAGGTAGCACAAGAAACCCTAGCTTTGTGCTGGCTATTGAGAGTTGAGTTCATGATGAAGAGAGCTGAACCATTTGGTCAAGTGGAAACGATATCATCTGATGATTCCTCAGACTCAGATCCTGGAGATGATAAATGCCAAAAGACAAGTGGTAACGGAGCAATTGATAAGCATGCGAAACTTGGTACAGCTGAAATAACCAAAAAAATTGGTGGCATAGACTTCGAAGCTCTTAAAAAGCATGGGTATAAGGGTGGACCATCAGTGCTCAAAGTCCCACCACCAAGAGTGAATGAGACCATTGAGAAAAATTGGTCTTGGTCTGATGGCAAGAAGAACAAGGATGAGGGAGAAACTTTGTGGGGTAAACAAGAGAGAGAAAATAGAGTAGCATGACTGTCAAGAGAGAGAACGAGGTATGCCTGAATTTTCAGGCCCAAGGGATGAGAGGGACGATACCCACAAGGAGAGAGAAAGCTAGAGAGAGACCGAAAATTTAAGAGACCCACACACCAAAAAAAAAATCAGAAACAGGAGCGTAAACCAAAAACCAATAAATCATAAATAATAGGCATTCACAGATCAAAACCCTCCTACCTCTTGGACTAAATCGCAGACTAGAGAAGTCGAAGAATGAAGGACAGACCTAGGGTTTCGGTGCTTGATGAACAAAGAGACGCAATCAAATTGAGATCAAATTGAGGATGTCACCGATCAGAGAAGCTGGAAACAGAGGCTCGATGCTTGAGAGACGAATGCTAAATCGTGACTTGACTCTGATACCATGCTAGAAACTGTATTTCTGTATCTTTAGGCCTTAAGCCCTCGTAGAAGATGTATTATTGAGCTTATCGAAGATGTGAATAAGAGCCCCAATTTATTAGGTTACAAAGTTGTGTACTACTAAAGAAACTAACATATGTAATGAACCACCTTCCTAATATGGGTACACATAAAATGAAGGAAAATATTGTTCCCTACCTTAAGTGCAGGTTTCTATATTTCCACAGGTCTCACAGAGTTCTACAATAAATGCTTTTCCCATATGAAAGCTATGAAAAGTCCAGGATAACAAGGAATGGAATTTTGAAAATTCTAGAGAAGTGCCAAGAGCTTTGACAACCCATGTGTCCCAGACTAATGAATAATGCAGCCTTAAGATCTTTTTCTTTTTCAATTTATGATGAGAAACTAAGTGGCTTGAATGGGGAAAATCAAGTTAAATATTGGTGAGCTAGAAGTGCTTGAAAGGAATATGCTAAGTGATGGATTTGACACCTTTTGTCACATGTGGATACAATATGAGGAATTGAGGAATGTGAAAAGCAATGGAAAGAGAGAGATGTCTCATATGAAATACAAATGAGGATTTTGAAAAGTGTAGAAGTGAAAAAGAAAAAGTGAGAGAAAGATGTCTTGTGTGGATAAAAACAAGCTTTCAAAAAACGATCCGCCCGACGCCTAGGCACCCAAGACACCACTCACCGCACTCCTACGCTGGCACCCAAGCAGGGAGGTGGGCCTTTTTTTTAATTTTAAAGGTGCCCAAAAAGTTAAAGGGGGTAATTTTGACCCCCCAAAAAATTTTAAATAGGTTGTGGGGGTTATTTTCAACTCCCAAAGTTAATAGAACATTTCCATAAGCCCCCAATCTCTTAGCTATACATATTTCTTAGAATAAAAAGTATTTTTTGTAGTTTGAAGAAGATTCCTGAACCTTTCCACTTATTATGAAATATGGAGAGTTGGAGACTATTACTAATACATAGCCTATTAGACTTTTAAATTTTGCGTGGTTGGAATTTTGAAATTTTGAACAAGTTTATTCTCAACGTGCGATATGTATTTGTATATAAAAAAGTATGTTGCAATAATTTAAAATGCAATAAATTACAAAATTGACACAAATATATGCATATATGTGCGTTTTGGAACAACTATATATATATATATATATATATATATATATATA